TCTCTCTCTCTCTCTCTCTCTCTCTCTCTCTCTCTCTCTCTCTCTCTCTCTCTCTCTCTCTGTTTCTTCCTCTGTGTCTCTCTCTGTCTTTCTCTGTCTCTCTCTGTTTCTCTCCCTGTCTGTTTCTCTCTGTGTGTCTATTTGTCTCTTTTTCTCCTTCTCTGTTTCTTTCCCTCTCTGTCTCTGTTTCTCTCTGTGTGTCTCTCTGTCTCTTTTTCTCTTTCTATGTTTCTCTCCCTTTCTGTCTCTGTTTCTCTCTCTGTGTCTCTGTGTTTCTCTTTCTCTCTGTTTCTCTCCCTCTCTGTCTCTGTGTTTCTCTCTCTGTGTGTGTGTCTGTCTTTCTCTCTGTTTCTTTCCCTCTCTGTCTCTGTTTCTTTCTTTCCGTCTGTCTCTGTCTCTTTCTCTGTCTCTCTCTCTCCCCTCCCCCTCTTCCCCCCTCCCTCCCTCCCTCCCTCTCTCCCTCTCTCACTCCTGAGCATCACACTCAGGGGATGTTTCTGGACTGCTTGATTTAGAAAGCACAGTTCTGTTCTTGCTGCTAAGCGGCTTTTATCTAAAAATATCAAGGGCCAACTTGGCTACTGGTAATTGGTCCTCTGCAGATTTCAATCTTCTCTACATTCTCCATCGTGACCTCAAAGTGGAGGGCAGAATTGCATGCTACAAAAATTGCAGGTGCCTCCTGCAAGAGCCAGCCACCTCACATCTCTCTCCCTCCCTCCCATTACTATTCCATTTGAACTGAGACAAGGAAAAGAGAAAAAAACACCACCACCACCAAAGCCTTGTTTAAATCATTCCCTTAAAAAAAAAAGGTATTCATTTATTTATTGTACTTAAAAGGTTTTAAGTTACAGAATGCCTCATGAGACACAGTTGCCAGGAATACAGAGCAGGAGTATGGAAAAACTGTACGCAAACTACAATGATTAAAATCCAGCATTTATAGCCATACATTCAAGAAGATGGTGATATATTTATGTATCAAGCTTTTCTTTTTTACACTATACAACCCTGTTTCATGGTAAAAAATAGTAATTCTATCATACTATTTCCATACAATATCTAACAATAAATGCACATAATAAAATCAGTATCAGAGGATAGCATACATTTTGTTATCTTAATATATTAACCAACAATCCATAGCTTCAAATAAATATTTTCCCTTAAATTAAATTCCTTTGAGCTTTAAGATTGTCATTTGCAATGTTTCATCACATGCCTCTTTATTGACCCCATGAAGTGGTCCTTCCAATGAAATCTACAGGGTATTTGGGAGAAGTCTACTAATTTTAAGAGCAGAGATGCAATGCCTTAGATTATTTTCACAGTGATTAAAGGTGACTCCTGCTGATTCTAAGTCAGCTTCAAAAAAAAACCCCACATTTATTTGAAGCATTAATCTGAATTCAAAAGTGAAATAGTTCAAATTATGTTGCTTCTCTATACTCAAAATATATAATAACGAGAAATTGATTGTCCATGCAGAGATCCAATGGCAATGATATTGTTCTCTGACAACATAAATTATTATTCCAGCCCAAATTCTGGAATAATATAATTATGTAGGTGTGTATATATGTGTGTATGGATGTATGCATGATTTCAACTGGGAATTAAAAGCAGTTTTATTCAAACTATAAAATCATGATATTTGGGGATTGCCCATGGAAGCTTTTCAAAAAATCTCTTTTAAAAACTAGATTTTTAAAAAAATTGATTCAATTTGGCAGTTAAGAAAACAACTGTGTATAGATTGTCTTGGCATTAAAAAATAACCAAGCCACTTCTTAGTCTGATTTATTAAATTAGTTAAAATTAATCCTAGACTTTGGATGTCTGACATCGCAATTGATGCAAAGTAAATTCTTCTTTGCTTATTACTTTAATGTAATGATGCACAGGATTATGACCTAACACTATTAATCACCAATAATAATCCATATGTTCTGGAACGTTAGAGCAGTGGGAACTGTTCAAACTCATTATAGCATTTCAAAGGGCCTCATTAACAAAAGCTACACATACTTTCCAGGTGCAGAATATCTCATGTTTTGTTTCCATCCTGCTATTTAAAGGATGTCAGATCGTGCTTGCCCTCCCGGGTAAACTAGACAGGAAATACAGCTAGATGAACTAATTCTACTTTATTGTAAGGCTACATTAATAGAAACTTGTAAGCCAGAGAACACAAGCATCCTGCCGCCACATTTAACAGCTCGATCCCTTAGGGTGGATCCTTCCTAAGTTTCTTTCTTTGACTGTTAAGACACTGGGGGCTCCTGCCTCTCTTCTCTGATAGTTTCCTAGGCAGCATCTCTTTCTCTCACCTTCCAAGGTCATCCACACCAGGGGTGAAATTCAGCAGGTTCTGACAGGTTCTGAGGAACCGGTAGCGGAAATTTTGAATAGTTCGGAGAACCGGCAAATGTCACCTCTGGCTGGCCCCAGGAGTGGAGAGGGAATGGGGATTTTGCAGCATCCTTCCCCTGCCACACCCACCAAGCCACGCCCACAGAACCAGTAGCAAAAAAAATTGAATTTTACCATTGATCCACACAGGACATATCACAAGCATCCTTCCTTAGGAATAGTTGTTGTGACTCAGTATCTCTCATGTAAATTGTTGGTGGGAATAATATTGAACCACAGTTCTCCTTTCATTATTGTTTCTTAATGGCTTGAGAAAGAATAAAGGATTCTAGGCACAAGGAGTGGGAGAATTTATATGCCCTGAAGAATTTAACTGAATAACTCAAGCTAATTTCTAGGGAGGGACGATGACACACAATTGCTTGGAATTGCTAAAGGCAGGTTGCGTTCACCATGTCTCTTTACTACCATTGGACACTGAGAGCTCTCTTCCCAGAATTTCACTAAATAAATATGTATTTATTTGATTTAAAAAAGGCCTAGGTAAAAGATGATAAATTCACGATATTGCCATTGCTGGATAACAAGGTCTCAACATTGAGGGAGCATCAAGTTAGAAGCTAGGTAAGTGGCTCTTTCACCAAAGCTGATATCTCATCGAAGCACTGGCTAACCCAGGGATGCAATTCAGCCGGTTCTATCCAGTTTGGGTGAACTGGTAGCGGGAGTGGCGGGAGGCTCCGCCCACCCACCCAGATGACATCACATCCTGCTTTTGCTCTCTGCCTGTGCATGGAAAGTCCTGCACATGCATGGAGGTGGTGCATGCGCTCACATTTGCGAACCGGTAGCAAAGGTAAGTTGATTTCACCCCTGGGCTAACCCATGCCTGCTTAGCTTCTCAGATCAGCCAAAGGCAGCCGAGGATGGTCACCAATTCAGGATTAAAACAAGGAGGAGGTGGCAAATGTTTAATTAGATGAATACATAGCAGGAAGTAAATAACTCTGGAGTGAGAATTTGCATGCCTCTGTTAATTCTGTGGTAGTTGGGTATCTGGGGAATAGACATGCCAGTTTTATGTCCCCACTCAACTGTTTGGTTTCAGGACTTTTAGTTCTTCAGGAAAGTATCACCGAAACAGCTAGGGATATCAAAGCCATAGAAACTAAACAATGGAAAGAACAGCAGTTAATGAAGGACAGCTCTCCTACATGGAGACTCTAGCAATGTGTTGGAGCGGTTTGTTCCTGTAAAGGTTTTCTGCCGCTTCCAAATGCCAGTGTTCCTTTCGGCAGAACCACCCACCCCACAGCTTCCTGCACAGTTGTCTCCACAAATGGTGTTTTTGCAAAGCTCACTGATTTGCCAATGTGCCGTGTTTCTCCAGCCTTCCTTTCTATGACATACAGCCCACATTCTTAGTCATCACCATCTTCTTGCTTCTGAAGTTTCTCCTGGTTGTGTGTGAATTTTCACCCATGAAAAATTAAAGCCTTTGGCTTCTAGCCACAGAAGCTACTTATATTTTGCACATTTTTTCCATGGTAGGCATCAATATGGAGAAAAAAATCACCATATCTATGGAATAAAAAAACAATATATGTGTACAGGTGTGTGTGTAGTATATCTATATGCTTACAGCAACAATGATATTCAGTAGTAAATGTGGTTCTTTCATCAGCAAAGGAGGCTCCTGGAAAGCTATTTTGCTCCATTAGCCCCGTCTAGCTAAAAACGGATTTGTTTTACCAGTATCTTAACTAGAGACTAAATCAGAAGTGAGTTTCATATATTTGATGGGGCTTGCTCCCAAATAGGCATGATTAGGCTTCTGCCAACATTACCTCACAGAGAAAAATCTGAGAGAAAAATTCTAAGGTTTTTTTTACTGATTCATTCCCATAAATAAGAATTCTACATGAGAAAAGGTTATTTGAAAGTTTTGAGAATCAAAATGGGGTTGACCAAGTCATGCCAGGATTCAAGAAGTTGTTTAAAGATGTACAAATTGGTTCTTTAAATCCTAGATCTAGCTTAGATATTTATATATAACATAATGATACTTCTTTTGTGCATTCAGACAGATGTTGAGGGAGAAAAGGCCTAGGTAAATCTTAAATATCGGGGGGGGGGGAATTAGCATGCCTATGATGAGGCTGCATTTAAAATACACAGCCAGTAAGAAGAAGGCATACAATTTCAGGTTACAGTTCTGGGGCTTCTGATGAACAAATAGAGACTCCTTTTCTTTTATTAACCACGGCTGCCTTTAGGCTTCACATTAAGCAAATCAGCATTTGCTTAAGCATGGCTTAGGCTGGATTTGCACAAACACAGTAAGCTATAAACCACGGCTGATTTCACACATCGTGGTAAGCCAAAACCAGATAAAACTCATCATAACTCATCTCTACCAGGCATTACAAGAATATCTAAGATGTTAAGATTTCCCGATAGCTCTGTTGAATATCTACATGAGGCTGCTGGGGAGCTTATCCATTCATTTGTCATCAGGCATCTTCAGAGTGCTGGTGATTCAGTTGTACATTTCAAATATCCAGATAACTATAGGTGCCAACAGCATGCCTTAGGTGCCATCAATTAGATAGCATCATCTGAAAAGACACATAGTGTCTACCCTGTGGAACAAGGTTTCCCTAGAATTTATATGGCCCCACTCTGACCCTACTGAAAGAAGAATTTAAACATTGGCCTGGGCCCCAGGCCTTGGACTGGAGTGTTTGTGGAGCCCTTTGAGGGACATTCATTCAGATGATGCTGAAGTTCTTTTTCTGGACATTTATTTTAATCATTTCATGTAATGAGATGCCCAAGGTTTGGATGGAGTTATCTTATTCCATTCATCAGTCAATCAATCAACAAATCAATCAGTCACTCAGTTCAACCATTACACCCATCCAAGGAAGAGACAGCAGATTGTTACAATAATTATTGTGGTAACTTTCTTAATTATTTCAACAGTCACATTTAAAAAAAAAAATAGACATACTTGTTTCATGTATACTTGACTTTTCTAAGAAGTACCTAGATGTTGCTATCCACATATTTATACATGGAATACAATGAAAGGTTGTTTTTTTTTAAAGTGCTGTAGAGAACGAAAGTGCAAGTACAAAACAAACAAAATAGCAATAACATTGAAGCAATTTTTCAAAGATGTGAGGTGCCAAATTTCTATTATGCTTGGGTGGATCATAAGTGATGAGCACTGGTGATAGGTGGGTGGGTGACTCATAGGAATTGTACTACATTTTAACAAGATCAAGAATATAGCACAGACAACTGTTGCACGTTGTTTGCAGACAGTTGCTGTTTCAGCCATTCTAGTTAATGCAGGGTCATAGAAACACCAAACCTTGTTTGGTCTTCTATGATGCTGGAAGTGGTCCTCTTCCTGATGTTTCTAGAGGAGCAGAACAGAATTTTATTTGTTGCTTTAACAATCAGAGCTGCATTCAACACTTTCCAGCAGCCTTGGAAAATTCTAATATCAGTTCAGCAGTTCCACTTTCCCACACATTTCCAAAGCTTTAGAGACAATAAAAATGGAACAGCAAAGCTTTTGCAAGTAACAAAACAAACCCACAGAATACATTCAGTTTTGCCTCTGCCCCCCGTTCACCCAGCAGTTTTAAAATTCTATTTTCAAAGCTACAGAGCCTCTTAGGGATGACAAAGCAAACAGCATTTAAAATGATTTAGTATCATTACAGTATTGCTGCACTTAGTAGCTGTAGAAGAGACATCAAAATCTTCAAATGAAGGTTTTCCCAGTAAACATCTCAAATGTCCTTCTGATACAATCCGACTATATATAGAGAGAACCAACTGCAGAACAACAGAGGCCTTTCCAGCAAGCCCTAACCAGTCAGCAAATATCTGTAAGGCTAAAGCTTACTGAAGGCAGGCAGGAATATCGCTTGGTTTTCTGGTATCTCATGATGTGCAACTTGTTTTACAAACTGTGAAAAGGATTGTACACATGGCAGTACAAAACCTCTCTCATCTGATGTGGGAAAGTTCCTTATTCTTCTATGCATAGTTATATGTTACAGCAATACAATGGCATCTGAAAATACGTGAACATATTTGAATTTTAATCCACTGGGGATGCTTTAATTGTAAATATGTCTTTTATCTTTGTGAACTGCTGAGTATAGGTATAGGTATAGAAGATATGTAGATACAGATGATAGATAATAAATAAATCTCATCCTTGTAATTTGTGAGTAATGTTACTGGAGCCACCATGATCACCTTGTTGATTTCTCAGATCCTGGAAATCCAACTCAGCTTGCATTAACTCCGTTCTAAAATTCTTCATGAGTCTCAAATGTGTGACATACAAACAGCATCTTTCCACAACCTTCTCGTTTATCATATTGCTTCTGCTGCCGGTGCTGAATAACTCTTCTATCAGCTTAAAATGAATATGTACAATACTAAATAGGAATTGCTGTTTCCAAAGCTAGATAATATTCTTTCTATTTATAGATGCAGCTCTCTCGTTTTGATATACATATATCTGTAATATATATATATATATATTGTCATTGTATATATATATATATTGTCATATATATAACAGATAGATTGAAAAACGTGCATGGAACTAGATCCTAAACAGAGCCCATGCAAGAAGCTAAATATACTCATAAACAACAGATGTACCATACCTCCAACAAATAAGCAATGAAAGCTTCTTGGAGCAGATTTAAAGCTGTGAGTTTTCACTCTGCACATCATTTTTGTTCGGTGGCAGCTACTGCATCAGTTGCATTCATCCATGTGTAATTTCAGTTCCTCTTTTTTTCCTATTGTTTTAAGTTGGACAGTTCTAAAGATACAGTTTGTTTTTAGTTTTTTTCCCCCTTCAGTTGTTGTCTGACTGTTGTTCTAAAAGGAGTATTTCCTTCCTATTAGATGGACACGGGGCACACAATAATCCTGTCTTCCAGAAGGACGCTGACAATCAGGAATATAAAATAGAGCCCGAACATGGTGAAACCTAGGATTTTGTTCATTTTCCATTTGCAGAATGCAATAGAGAGGATGACAAAGAGAAGCATGATGAAGAGAAGAACAATAGCACAGAATAACCCATTGCTGCTCACTTCCACTGGGGAGAAGTTGTTAATTATAGCATAGATGAACCACGGCAGAGGAAGGCTGTTGAAGAAAAAAAAATGCCAATAAAAACTAGTTTTGCTGCTAATTGGAGGGTGGAGTGATATATCTCTATCTCTCTCTCTCTCTCTCTC